GAAAATCTAATATATGATCTGTATATATATTTATATATATATATATATATATATGTTTAATATTGACTATAAAAAAAATTCTGTATATTCTTTTGAATTATTGTATTTATTGGATATTGTTCTCACTCCTCTCTTTTCTTTGTTTTTAAAATTAAATATATTATAAATTAGATGGATCTACTTGGGATTCCAGATCATTTTGCAGTTGTTATTACTGTTGTCCTACTTGGAAGAAATTGGAATATGGAGACTATTTGATGGATCTGTTATAATTTTATTTTTCAACCATATTATTTCAATTGTAATTTTCTTTCCACTATCAATGTAAATAGCGTAATAGAAGTGGAAGAAAGAAATAATGTGTAAACTAGTACATTATTGTAAATATTTTAGAACGATATGTCATGTAATAAATTCATAAAATATTCTTTTTCTCTATCTTTATCTTAAAAAAAATATTGTTAATGATATTATTGAGAAAATATTATATAAGAAAATATATAATTATTATTATATAAATCGGGCGTTACACATTTCGCTCCCACGTTTGTCTCCAAACCACCAGATTATAGAAATTAAAACAATAATAATAAAAAAAAACAAAAGAAGAAAACAATTCACCTAGATTTGCAAGAAGGACAATGAAGAAGAAAAGATAAAAGCAAAAGCAAGAGTTTAAAATGCAAATTACGTTTTCGAAATGAAATTTTGAAGCATTTTTTATGTCGAGTGTTGTTTCACCCGTTATAGAAAGTTTTATAATGGGTGTTCCATCACAAAATGTGTTGGAAAGAGCCAGCTTTACGGTTGACCACAATCTTTCTTTGACGAGTATAATGACAGTTAACATAGAAAAAACTTGACCGATGAAACAACCCCAACATAAATTTTGTTAAGTCAAAAGACAATCCCTAATGTTTTATAAAGTTTTAATGATAACAAACGCTACATTTTTAATAATAAAACACACTGTAAAAGTCGTTATTTTAGACTGAGTAAGACAAAATAGCGTTTGTAAGATGAAGCTAATTAGACGAAATATACAAACCTTCTCTAACGATCGTTATTTATTATGATTGACGAGTTTTAAATGTTAAAATGAATGCTTTATATTTTAACAGATCAAATAAAACTTGCATACATTAATTAATTAGGTAAAAAGTAATTAAGTGAAAAGAGTGAGATGATAAGTCCCAACAATTTTAAGGATAATTTTAGAAAAATAATACAAATTGTTAACAAATTTAAGGCTACTAAGTACTAACTATACTAATTAATTTTCTTAATTACTGTGAATTAGTTAAAAGTGACTTACATTTAGGAGAGAGGGAGTCATAGTTAATAAAAGTTATAAAAAAAACTTTATACTGCCTTAACAATATATGACAGCATAAACCCTCATCAATGATCTAAAAATCTCAGTATGCATCACCTTTATACTTTGTAGTACTTGGTTTTGAAGAATGGGAAGTATTAATAATAATGTCAAATAATTTCGTCATGTTATTTCCATGTAACCAAAAATATTAGTATAATGAATTCAGCAAAGATAACATATATATGATTACAATCATATAATGTTGCCAAGCAAATGAAACCCACCTCATCTGGATCAGATGAGTCCAATAAAAGACTTTGAGCAGCCGATATGATTTCTTCTGAATGATAAGTGGGAATTCCCAACTTCAACAGATCAAGATTGATATGTACAGGAAAATATCCGATATCTATCAAAAGTTTAACAGATGAAGATGCTACTTTTGCCAGACCCATTTCCTTAAGTATCTGCTAGTAAAAGAGAAGATAAATTTACTAAAAGAACAAGAAAGTCAATGGTGGTGACTGGTAACATAAACAATAAACAACTTTCTAGAGATGCATTATTATTCAATGATTTTATACTAAACATCCAAGCAAAGAGACAGCTGAATCCACTAAGATCATCCTTTCTCATTGTTAGGAAGTGTTACATTAGTACTAGACTTGTATATGATACAATTCATAATTATACAAATATATATACAAGGAATCTAATTAAAATAAGTTTGAGAATCTCGTGCAAAGATTCTACGCTCCCCTATTTCCTTATCTCTTCATATTATTTACATACTTGAAAAAAAATACCAATTGCTACAATGTTACATGCCTACATAACAATTGAGGGAAAAAATTACCATCCCAGCTGTTTTCCTTTGTTCATCATTTTTACATGTATCAATAGCATATGCTTCAAGAGACTCAATTCTGTTCCAAATTTTCTCATCAATTGTCCATGAAGATTTTGGAGGTTTATCTTGTGAAGACATTGACTTTGCAGAGGTCAGTAATTCGATAAACTCCTTTAAGTTCTTTCTCAGCGGCCTCCTTTGCAAGCTTCCTATGAATGAGCTCCTCAACCTTCCTTTTCAAAAATAATTTTTTAGACATTTATTTCAGTTCATCTGAAAGCAACTAGTAAATCAAACCAGAAGAATAAACATTCTAAAAAGTTATCACACTTTCATGGCTATGTGATGAGAACTATGATCCAAGTTAGTTCCCTTAATGGATTGGAGCTAGTTAATTTTTAAGAGTATATGTGATAGAAAACAACTGGTTTTTTAATAGCAAATCTATTAGAAAACGGTTCTGTATTAGAAACTGCATGATGTCAGTCATGCATAGAAAGTAACTGCTGGCAGTTATGTATTAGATTTAGGAGTAAATAAATATCTGGTAGCAAATATATTAGAATTTAGAAAGCAGTTTTGTATTAGAAAATGCTTGGTGGCAGTGAGTATATATCTGATAGTAGGTTGTGTAATTAGGGGGGATAATTATTTTTTACAATTTGTGGACAAGAATTTATTTGGCTGTGTTTGGTTGTATAATATTAATATATTAGTATTTTTAAAATGTTTTTATTTTAAGAACATTTTTTTAAAATTTATATATGGGTATTGTCAAACTGTTACTATATTATTGTGATTTGTTATTTTCTTTATTATATTAAGTATTATGTTTCATACATATATATTACTAATAAGATTTTTAATATTATTTGTATATTAAGTAACTCTTATGAGTTTACGAGTCAAGTTTATGGAAGCTCTACAAACTCAAGTTTCACAACCTTAGTTCTAAGATGAACCAGTTTTTTAGAGTAAAACACCAGTCATTATAACAGTTCTCGGTCGGATTGGTCGACCTGACTGGTTTAGTCCAAATTTTAAAACAATGCATAATAGTAATTATCTAGTGTGGCTAGGTACTGGCTTTAAACTACTATTATGTGTTTATTTGATCCCAGCTTACAAGTAATATATAACAAGTAAAAGCAAAACACCTAAACATGTAGCACATTTATATGTTAGGAAAATACTCCAAAGAGGGAGCTACATAACTTGAGTAATTGTAACTCCAGTACAGTAAAGTATACTTCATCTTTTGATAGCAAGAGATGAGCAGAATAGCTCTCAAGGGGCTCAGCACTGCCAAAAATTATCTGCAGAAGCAGCAACTCATTTAAGGACAAAGAAAGCATGCATTGACATCTAGTCAAGAAAGCATATTACCTCAGCCAACTCTTCAATTGTCACAGACTTATTCTTCTCGAGGAGCTCAATCCAAGCAAATTCAAGTAGTGGTGGGTCCTGTATCATATCATGCAGAATTTATTTATTGACATATGAACAAGTTTTAAATTTGGTTTATTTGTTACCATCTCCATTGAGGTTGGTTTATTTGTTACCATCTCCATTGAGGAACACTGGAACTGACCATGTTATCCTGAGCCTTCTGAGCAAAATCTGCGATATCTGCTTGGTCAAAATTGTCAACACCAGGAACAATATATGTCACTTGTTGTGGTTTGATGGAAGAAGTGACACCATTCTTCAGCCCAACAAAAACAAGGAAGAGTTAGACTACACAAAATCCAGCAATATTTAGCATTTATAAAAATGCAAGAAGTTCCAACACCTAGCAACCTATTAAACATGCCGCATTATGTTGTTTCTACTAGAACCTGATCAGAAACCATCCAGTTCTTGCCATCAGGTCTCTGAGCTACTGCTAGCAATACTCTATCAGAATCCTTCTTGAATTCCAAAAGCAACCCTTTTTGCAATGAACGATTCACAAGTCTATCTTCAACAAGCTCTTCATTCAACAATCCCATGCTGCTAAATCAATAAAATAAAAATTAATAACTGGACTACTGAAGCAATGAAAAAGCTAGGAAATACCAGAACAAGCTTTATACAAAAATTTACAAGCACATGACTGTAAGAAAGGTGATTGTAGAAAATAGTTTTACAGGTTACTAGAAAGTTTGAAAGCACAAGATCTCACATTTTCACTAACATTTTTTCCTGGAAACAGAACAAAAACCTAAGTAGCAAAATAACATGAAAACAGAACATTTTTCAATTTGGACATAACTACTTTTTCCTCCAGAAAACTTTCTTGACAAAAGTTCTCAGAAATTTTTTCAGCTATTACTTTTGCACTTTCTCCTTTGAAAGAAAATAAAAACACAACCATTTTTGGAACCTTTAAAATAAAAAACAAAAGGCAGGATTTTGGTTGTTTATTCTTTAAACCACAAACCATAATTGAAGTGGGAAAACATACTTATTGTTAGGATTTTAAAATATACAAAAAAGAAATTTATTATTGATCCATAAATACCATTTTATGCCACCGAAAATTGAGACTAACAAGCTCTTGATCTGAAGAAATATAGTGCACTTGGAAAAGGAAAAGTAATTGATAGGCAAGAAAGTCAACCACAACCAGAACCACGGGCCTTACAAGTGTATTACAGAAGGAAAAAAGGCCATTGACTGTAATTAAAATCTCGGTTAGCAAACAGTTAGAGAAAAGTCTATAAATAAAACCCTTATGGTGTGTTTGAATGAGGAATTTTAAAAATTCAAGGAATTTAAAATTCTTAGAATTTGAATTACTTTGATTTGATTTTTTATTATTCTTTAAATTTTTTGTTCCGACAAGTCAATTCAAATTTTTAAAGTTTTAAATTCTTAATTTTGATAGGGCAATATTTTTTGGTGTATATTTTGATAGGGCAATTTAATTTTTACCATAGGTAAAATTGATTTTAAACAAATATATATTGAAATTTTAAGATTTAATTTTATAAGATTAAATATTAGTCAATTTTTAAATATTTCATAATTTTAAAATTTAATATTTAAATAATATTTAATAATTTAAAAAATAATTTTGAATATTCAATAATTAAAAAAAAACTAATGATATTTTTTAGGTGACTTTGAAAGAGAAAAGAGAAGCAGAAAAAAAGAGAACAAAGAATTTCAAATTCTTACTTCTTTGAAAGAATTTGAAATTCTACTATTTTAAAAAATTTAACAAATATTTGGATTTCAAATTTTTTATAAATTCTTTATCTAAGTAAAGCATTTCACTTCAAGGTATTTGAAATTCTTAAAAAAAAAATGAATTCCTCCATTTAAGGGGTTGAGGGTATAGTATTGTTATCCAAGCTATTTGTAAGGGGTTGAGGGTGAATTTGGCGTGTGAGCTGTTGAAGGAGATGAGGGACTTGGGGTGGGTGCCGTCTGAGGGTACATATGGGGCTGTGATTGGTGTTTGTGTTAGGTAGGGGAATTTCGCGGAGGCATTGAGGCTCGAGGATGAGATGGTGACTGGTGGTGTGCCGGTGAATGTATTTGTTGCAGCGAGGTTGGTTGAAGGGTATTGTATGAAAGGGGATGTGAGTAGTGTGTTGCGGTTATTTGATGAGGTTGTTGAGGCTGGTGTTGCTCCCAGTGTGGCTATTTTCTCGATTTTGATAGAATGGTGCTCTAAGATTGGGAATATGGAGAAAACGAATGAGCTTTACACCAGAATGAAACTCATGGGCCTTTAGCCAACTGCGTTTATTGTAAATTTTCTGTTGAAAGGATTCCGGAAACAGAATTTGCTAGGAAATTCATTTGCATTGCTTGATGAGGCAGTTGAAAATGGAATTGCTAGTGTTGTTACATATAACATCCTTTTATTGTGGCTTTGTGAATTGGGCAAGGTTAGTGAGGCTTGTAATTTGTGGGACAACATGATTGGTAAGGGTATTACACCTTCACTAGTTTCTTACATCCAATGAAAAATATTTTATTTTTATTTTTTGGAAACTAATTGGGCTAACAAATTTCAAATGTGTATCCAAACATAGCCTATGTCTCTGATATCATGTCATGGACCAACTAACTACCCCAAAAGTTCAAGCTGTTATACAAAGAAATAGGAATGGTTTTATATATTGTATTTCTAACTAGCCTATTTACAGGAACTGCTACTGAATGTAGAGAAATGATCTAGCAAGCAAAACAAGAACATCTAGCTCCAACTGCCTATTCTGTTCATAATATGCTTGAACTTAACTCTGAGATGAAGCAATTACTGAAACAGGGATAAATTTGTAAAGCTAGGAATATGTTTGATAAAATGGCTCACAGAGATGGGATATCATGGACTACATTAATAGTTGGTTATGTCAATGTCGCAGATTCGCATGAAGCATTGACCTTGTTCTCAAATATGTGGGTCCATCCAGGACTTCAAAGGGACCAGTTCATGATTAGTGTTGCACTCAAGGCTTGTGCACTTGGTGTCAACATTTTTTTTGGAGAATTATTACATGGATTTTCAGTGAAATCTGGTTTAGTAAACTTGGTGTTTGTCAGCAGTGCCCTAATTGACATGTACATGAAAGTAGGCAAAATAGAACAAGGTTGCAGAGTCTTTGCAAAAATGATAAAAAGAAATGTAGTATCATGGACTGCCATTATTCCTGGGCTTGTACATGCTGGTCACAATATGGAGGGTTTGTTGTACTTTTATGAAATGTGGAGATCAAAAGTTGGCTATGATTCACATACATTTGCAATTGCTTTAAAGGCATTTGCTGATCCAAGTTTGTTACATCATGGAAAGTTATACACACACAAACAATAAAACAAGGATTCGATAAGAGCTCATTTGTGGTTAATACCCTGGCTACCATGTATAATAAATGTCAGAAACAAGACTATGTCATGCAATTGTTTGAGAAAATGAAGATGCCAGATGTAGTCTCATGGACAACCCTTATTACGACTTATGTACAGATGGGTGAAGAAGAACATGCAGTGGAAGTTTTTAAAAAATGAGAAAATCAGATGTCAGTCCTATTAAATACACTTTTGCAACTGTAATTTTTGCCTGTGCAAATCTCGCTATTACTAAATGGGGGGAACAGATACATGGCCATGTATTGTGTCTAGGTTTGGTAGATGCTTTGTCAGTGGCAAATTCAATAATTACAATTTATTAAAAATGTGGGATGTTAACATAAGATTAAATTGTGTTTAATGGTATAAATAGAAAAGATATTATATCCTGGAGCACTATAATTGCTGTTTATTCTCAAGGAGGTTATGCAAAAGAAGCATTCGACTATCTATCTTGGATAAGAAGGGAAGATGATAGAAAGAATGTAGAAGAAGTGGAAGTTGTACTCCTCCTAAGTTCCTTCTAAGCACGGATCTCCTTCAAGGAAATTTGAACCGAAGTGATGAACCAAAAGAAGAGGAAGTTACACGGATGTAGTGATGCAAAGTCTTGGATGGAAGCATCCAAGCTCAAAGAGCAAAGGATTGCTCACTTCAAAGAGTAGGAATTGAAGAACTCCTAAGGTGTTTGATGGCACTCTCTTGCTCTCTATATTTCGGTGACTCTTGAGGGAATTTGCTAAAGTTTTGATTTCAGAAATTCTTATGTATTCAAAAGTGTTTGTACAAGGAGAAAGTCACACATTTATAGGTAGAAATTAGGTCAAATTGGCGCCACTCCATGTAGTAACAATTGGCGCCAAGTTTGAATTTCAAAATTTGAATTTGAAATTCAAACTTCAGCCAATTAGATGACTAATCCGGATGGCCCCTCATTTAGATGTCATTTAAGAGTTATTTGAAGTGAATTTGGAGCTCACATGGCCGGAACCACTCCATGCCATCCATGTGACTCAAATTCAATTCAAATTACTTCTAAATGACACATGAATGAAGCCTAATTTTCCTATTAATGTATACTTCATATAAACCTATGCTAATGACCGAAATACATTGGTCTAATGAATACAATGAATATAAAAAATTACAAGAAGAAGAATGAGCCTAATATTGGGTATCAAAAGCCCAAAGCCCATGAAGCCCAAAAATAAGCCCAATAGCCTAAACCCTAAACTATGGTCAAAATACAAGACCGAAATCAAACAATAGCCTAAACCCTAAACTATGGTCAAAATACAAGACCAAAATCAAAGCAAAATTCCTATACTAAGAAATATTCAATAAAGCATGGTGTTTAATCAAGTAAGGTCCATGTGAGAAGCACCCTAGGCCCACCAAGCCCATTGGGCCCACTAAGCTCTGAAGCAGACAAGTCTTCAAGTAATCTCCTGGCCATAGCTCTAGTGGTTGGGCCTTTGGCCCATGCTCTTCCATCAGAAGAGCCAAAACCAAATGAATTTGCTCTTGCTAGTGTGTTAAGCGTTTGTGGAAGCATGACACTTCTAAAGCAAGGGAAACAAGTGCATGCTCATGTATTGTGCATTGGCATAGATCATGAAGCAATGGTTCATAGTGCTCTTATTAATATGTATTCAAAATGTGGAAGTGTACAAGAAGCTTCAAAAATCTTTAATGGAATGAAATTCAATGATATTATATCATGGACAACCATGATTAATGGGTATGCTAAACATGGTTATAGCCAAGAAGCCATTAATTTGTTTGATAAGATATCCAGTGTTGGTTTGATGCCAAACTATGTGACATTCATTGGGGTTTTAACAGCATGTAGCCATGCTGGATTGGTTGATCTTGGTTTCTACTATTTTATGTTAATGACTAATGAGTACCAAGTCAATCCTTCAAAAGAACACTATGGCTGCATCATTGATCTTCTATGCATAGCAGGCCAATTGAGTGAAGCTGAGCACATGATACGAAGTATGCCATTCCATAGTGATGACATTGTGTGGTCTACCTTACTCAGAGCATGTAGAGTTCATGGGGATGTTGATCGTGGAAGATGGGCAGCAGAACAGTTACTTCAATTGCCGTGCGTTCTTCACTGGCTATTTTAACAACACTGGTTGTTTCCCTATTCTCTCTAACAATGCCAACGAGGTTTCCCAGGAGGAGCATCATTTTCTCAATCCCCACGAAGATTCTTCCCCCTTTCCCGCAACGCTCCTCAAACCTCGTCCTTCCCACTGACCCACCACCACCAACCCCTGCCCTTGACAATTTTCCAGGGAAAATCGCTTCAAGCTTCAATTTTCCCGAGACAATCGCCCCCCAACTGATGGCTTCCTCCTTCCATGGTTGAAGTAGAGTATGAAAGGGAAGACCTTGCCCTTGATCTAGGCTCACCAAAGGGTAGAGAAAAAGGATGACTTTGATGGGAAAGGAAGATAGGCGTGAGGTATAGATGGTTGGCGGAAGTGTTTAGGGTTAAGGTGTTTGGTGCTCCCAAGGTTGGCTCACTCCAAAGGTAAATGGAGGCCACTCTAGGGTTCTCACTCTCCAAGGGTGGAGATAGGAGAAAGTTAGCCAAAGTTAACCTAGTGACTAAGGAGAAGATTTGAGGCACAAAAAGGCTCACTCAAATTCATATATTCCAAAGTATTTACATGTGGTGGGGTGTTGGGTATTTATAGGAGGGGAGGCATCTAGGGTTTCATTTGGGACATGCATGGCCGAAATTCATAAGGCAAATGCACTCCAAATGAAATGCCAAATAACCCTAGATGCAACTTGGTGACCAAGGATGGAATCTATGGGTCTAGATTGGCTACAACTAGGTGCATGATAAGACCATGCAACCTTTGCCCTCCACTTGGGCCTAAGCCTTTCTAACACCAAAAAATAGGTCCAAGATCACCAAAAAAATGTGTCACCTCCTTATGTAACACCCTAGCCCAAAATTAAAACCCTAATCATCTAAAGCACCCCATAATACAAGGGTAAAATAGGAAATACAAGGGAAAATAAATTCTAAGACTAAAATACCCCAAAGTACAAGGGTAAAATTGGAATAAAGCAATAAATTCTATACTACTCAAATTGGTCATAGCCATGAACCATGTGATGGGTCTCACACGAGTACCAAGGATGGTCCTCCATCACCAACCCGGTCGTTCCCTCACAAAATGAGGTCTTGGACACCCTCTTGCGGCACAAGGGGGACCCCGCATCGGCATTGAGGTTCTTCAAAGGCGTAGAGAGACAACGAGGGTTCGTGAAAACCGCTGATGTTTTATGCTTGTTGCTTCAGATCCTTGCCTCGTGCCCCAACACTCACGGAGATGTCAAGTATTTGCTCAATAGCTATGTCTTTGGAGATTCAGCCCTTGTTGCGAAGGTTATGGTGGAAATGTTAGTGGAGTGTGCGGGAAGGTACGATTTTGAATTATCTGATTCTAGGGTTTTTAATTACCTGTTGAATAGTTATGTTAGAGCTAATAAGGTCACTGATGTTGTTGAGTATTTTAGAGCCATGTTGGAGCATAGTGTGCTCCCTTGGCTTGTGAACATTCTTTTGACCGCAATGGTTAAGAGAAACATGGCGGATGATGCGTGCCGTGTGTGTGATGAAATGGTTGAGAGAGGAATTCATGGCGATCCCTATACTGTGCATGTTTTAATGCGTGCGTGTTTGAAGGGAGGGAGATTTAAGGAGGCTGAGAGGTATTTTGGGATGGCTGCGGGTAGAGGGTTGAAGCTTGATGCGGCGGCGTATAGTATTGTTATCCAGGCTGTTTGTAAGGGGTTGAAGGTGAGTTTGGCGTGTGAGTTGTTGAAGGAGATGAGGGAGTTTGGGTTGGTGCCATCTGAGGGTACATATGAAGCTGTGATTGGTGTTTGTGTTAGGCAGGGGAATTTCGCGGAGGCATTGAGGCTCAAGGATGAGATGGTGACTGGTGGTGTGCCAGTGAATGTATTTGTTGCAGCGAGGTTGGTTGAAGGGTATTGTATGCAAGGGGATGTGAGTAGTGCGTTGCGGTTGTTTGATAAGGTTGTTGAGGCTGGTGTTGCTCCCAATGTGGCTATTTTCTCAGTTTTGATAGAACGGTGCTCTAAGATTGGGAATGTGGAGAAAGCGAATGAGCTTTACACCAGAATGAAACTCATGGGCCTTCAGCCAACTGTGTTTATTGTAAATTTTCTGTTGAAAGGATTCCGAAAACAGAATTTGCTAGAAAATGCATTTGTATTGCTTGATGAGGCAGTTGAAAATGGAATTGCTAGTGTTGTTACATATAACATCCTTTTATTGTGGCTCTGTGAATTGGGCAAGGTTAGTGAGGCTTGTAATTTGTGGGACAACATGATTGGTAAGGGTATTACACCTTCGCTAGTTTCTTACAACCACATGATACTTGGTCACTGCAAACGGGGTTGCATGGAAGATGCACAAAATGTCATGAATGGTATTATTAAAGGTGGTTTAAAACCGAATGTCATTACATACACTATTTTGATGGATGGATTTTTTAAAAAGGGTGATTGTGAGCACGCATTTGGTGTGTTTGATCAAATGGTGGCTGCAGATATAGTGCCTACAGACTACACATTTAACACCATTATAAATGGATTGTCTAAAAATGGCCGGGTGTCTGAGACAAAGGATAAGTTGAACACTTTTATGAAGCAGGGTTTTATTCCCACATCTATGACTTATAATAGCATCATAGATGGATTTGTCAAGGAAGGTGCAGTTGATTTTGCAGAGTCTGCATATAGAGAGATGTGCGAAAGTGGAATTTCACCAAATGTTGTCACCTATACTTGTTTGGTTAATGGATTTTGCAAAAGTAATAAGATTGATCTTGCTTTGAAAATGCATGATGATATGAAAAAGAAGGGTTTGCAACTGGATATTACTGCATATAGTGCTCTCATTGATGGTTTCTGCAAAATGCAAGACATGGAAAATGCAGGCAAATTATTCTCTGAGCTTTTGGAGATTGGTTTGAATCCAAACACAATTGTTTATAACAGCATGATTAGTGGCTTCCGAAATTTGAATAATATGGAAGCAACACTCAACTTGTACAAGGAGATGATTAATAATAAGATTCCATGTGACTTGCAAATATATACCTCACTGATTGGTGGACTTCTAAAAGAAGGGAAATTAAATTTTGCCATAGATCTTTACTTAGATATGCTTTCCAGGGGTATTGTGCCTGATATGTTCATGTACACTGTTTTGATAAATGGACTTTGTAACAATGGACAACTAGAAAATGCGGGCAAGATTCTAAAGGAAATGGATGGGAATAATATAACTCCTTCTGTTCTTCTTTATAACACTTTAATTGCTGGACATTTTAAGGAGGGGAATCTGCAAGAGGCTTTTAGACTGCATGACGAGATGCTTGACAAAGGTCTTGTGCCTGATGACACTACATACGATATTCTTGTAAATGGAAAGTTGAAAAGATCATACGCTCCAGTTGGTGCTTAATCCACACAAAAGGATTCTGGGCAGCACACATTCTACTAATGAGTTTTTTGCAAACTGAGTCTTGCAGAAAGTATTGAATGGTTTGAAATTGGTCTCATCTTCCATTGTTTGTCCTAAGGATCTAGAAATATGGACAAAATTTCCTTTGCAATTTCATCATGATTTCTATTAAGGAAACCGTAGTTCTTTCATATAACCGAAGTGAGTTCTTTCGGTTAGACACTTTCTTTGGCCAAGAGCATAATAGTTCCAATGGCCAGATATCCTGCAGAGAATTTAGCATTTTGCCATTTTGGTAACAGGAATTTCCAATTGTTGCAGGTGGGAAGACAATTTGGTGCTTAATTTTAACTTTTTTATTGGACAAGGATGAATAATTGTCAACTTGTTTCCTTCCCACTATTTAATTGTCTTGGCAACGGATAGGAGCTTTACTGCGATTTTGTAGTTTAGGATGGAATGCTATGATGTGTTCATGATCCATAATATTAGATCATTCTGTTTTAGCATCTCAATTTTTTTTTATGCGACCTTGAGGTTGGATACTTGAATAAAGCCTTTTTGTTTCTTTATAAAAAATAAGAGGGGTGGGGGAAAAGGCATTTATCCATCAATACCTGAATGGGCGTAGCTTTGATCCTTTTTAATGCAATCCAAGCTGCTGTAAATGATCCATTGAGACTGTTAGTCAGAGAAATACTAATTACTTCTTCTGATATTTATTATGAGGAATAGTTTGAATTTTTTTTATAAGGCATCTTATAATTTCTAGAAAGTATTAAATTATTTTTTTTGTTTGTCCTTATCAAAGAGTATGAGAATGTGGTTTTTCTTGTTTCTTAAACCTTATTCAATTGATATGTATCATTTTGTTGGTATTGATGTATAAGCTTTGATATGGGTAATATCTTCACTTTTTGCATGAAAATTTAATGTTAAGCAAGAAGTGTAAAATTAGTAAATTATGATTTTATTTTATAAATTTAATAAAATTAATTAACATAAATATTTATATTGGTCTAAGTGATTTAGTTAAAAGTGTTTTATAATAAGGATCAGACAGAGTAGTCTCTTTATACTTTTCAAATATGTTAATTGAAGGACTAAATTAATGGATATTCATTACTTTATAGTGTTTGAATAAAGGATTTTAGAAATTTAAGAAATTTGAAAATTTTAGAAATTGAATTACTTTGACTTTAATTTTTATCATTTTAAAAATGTTTTGTTTGGACAAATCAGTTAAAAAAAATTTAATTTTAAATTCTTAATTTGGATAGGACAATTTGATTTCTATGGATAAATTTAATTTTAAATAAATATGTGTGTGTGTTTTGGTTTGGATAAGTCAATTTAAAAAAGTAAATTTTAAATTCTTAATTTGGATAGAATAATTTGATTTTCATCATGTGTAAAATTGATCTTAAGCAAATGTGTATATGAGAGAGAGAGAGTGTGTGTGGAGAAAAGACATACATTAGAAGAAGAGGTTGAATAGTGTGTTTAAAAAATTTGCATTAATTTTGCGTAGTAAAGAGAAAATAACTTTACAACTAAAGCACTAGAGAAGAGTCAGATGAAGTACTAGATATTTTTATACTAGTTCGTTTCAATCATCGAGATTACGTTTATTACTCAATCTAACCAAATTAAATTTCACTAACTTTCACCTTTTTATTATAGCTTTAGAGAAAATAATCATTACAACAACTTTGAGTTGAACTTTTAATTTTCTTCACGAGTTACTTTGCCTGTCTTCTTCATTGATTCTAGAGATTGTTGGTAATGTATTTAATGTGAGCATTAAATGTCTTTCAGTAAAGCATGTATTGCTTATCTGATTTAGTTGGCTACTTATCATCATTTCTTTCTAAATTGAGCATAGAAGTAATGTCAGCGTAGAGTAGTTGAAGTCAATGTAAAATATTCTTTTGTAAAGTCTTTTATACGATATTTGGGATCTTGCTTTTTGCTTCACATGGATATTTTGTCTTTTTTCTCTTTTTAACATATTTCGAGAGTTTCAATGTTTCTTCCTTGTTCGATCTATTAAGGAATAACACATTTAATGAAATTAAATTTTATTCTCATTTGAAAGTATTCATTTAACGCATAGAGACAGACTGTATGCTTCATCTAATTTCCTTCATCTTATAGATGATACATATTTTTTACATTTCTTTTGATATAGCGTTTCTTGTAGATATTTGACTTTGTTTAAAAAAAAAAATCTTTTGTTTGTTAGCATTAAAATTAAAATTTAAGGAATTCAAGATTGTTTTTCAACTAACACAAGATTATCTTTTAACTTAATAGAGAGATTTTAAACTAATGTGTGTGTGAGAGAGATTTTAAACAAATATATATATATATATATATATATATATGTGTGTGTGTGTGTGTGTGTGTGTGTGTGTGTG